TTTTTCTGCTTATGTGGTGCTGAGGAATCGAACCCAGGGCCTTGAGCATGCAAGGCAAGTGCTCTACCACTGAGCCACCTTCCCAGCCCCGCTGAAAACTTCTTACCTCTTCAAGTTTCCACCATCTCCCAATTATACCACTCTCAGAAACAAGTCTTTTACCACATGGGGCTTTACAGGACAGGTCAGATCTACAGTGCAGTGCAGTACCTGGGGTCTCAGATTGGGAACCACTTCAGATGAAGAACTCACTAACCTATGCCTCCTGGTTCTTATAGTTTGCCCAAATGGTTCGGCTGCACAAGAAACTGGGGACAGAGGAATTCCCTCTGATTGATCAGACCTTCTATCCCAATCACAAAGAGATGGTAAGTTTGGAGAAGGAGTCAGGACTCATAAAGTATGGTCATTGGGTGTTCAGTATTATCAATCAGGGTGATATCAGAATGCCTTGGTGGGCCTGGGAAGGTCCCACATTGCTTTAGGATATAGTCTATTAAGACAAGGCAAATGCCAGGCACCTGTAATCCTAGCTACTCAGGAGGCTGAGATCTGAGGATCGTGGTTCAAAGCCAGCCCAGGCAGGAAACTCTGTGAAACTCTTATCTCCAATAAACCATCAGAAAACCAGAAGTGGTACTGTGGTAGAGCACTAGCCTTGAGCTGAAGAGCTGAGGGACAGTGCTCAGGCCCAGGGTTCAAGCCTCATGACTGACAAAAAAAAAAGACAAGGCAAGTGTCACTTATCCAGAATACTTGCAACCAGAAATTTTAGATTTGAGATTTTTTAAAAAAATATTTTAATGTATTTGCATATGCATAATAAGATGGTTTTGGAATGAGTCTCAAGTCTAAACACAAAATTCATTTTTGTTTCATATGGCACCTATACACATAGACCAAAATTAGTTGTTGCTGGTGGTAGTTTTTTTTATGCCAGTTCTATGGCTTAAACTCAAGACCTGGGCACTGTCCCTGAGATTTTTGTTTGTTCAAGGCTAGTTCTACCACTTGAGCCACAACTCTACTTCTGGCTTTTTGGTGGTTAATTGGAGATAAAAGCTTCATGAACTTTCTTGCCCTGGCTGGCTTCAAACTACCATCCTCAGATCTCGGCCTCCTGATTAGTTAAGATTACAGGCAAAAGCCACTGGTACCCAGCTAATTTGGTTGTATACCAGGGCTTGAAATTCTGGGCTTACTTGCTTGGCTGGCACAGTACCACTTGAGCTATGCTTTCAGTTCTGCTGGTTAACTGGAGATGGAAGTCTTGTACTTTTTTACCTGGGCTAACTTTGAACCATGATCCTCTAGATTTCAGCTCCAAGTAGCTAGAATTGTAGGCATGAACCACTGGCACTCAACTTCCAAATTAGTTTCGTATTAGTTTTTTGTATTAGTTTAATGAGCTTCTATTTTGGCTGAGACCTGTCATATGAAGTCAGATGTAGGTTATAGTTGTGGCATCATGTTGGAACTAAAAACATTTCAGTGTTTGGAACATTTCAGATTTTGAAGTTTTGGGTTAGGAATGTTCAACTTGTACTATGAATTTATTAGTGGATATAAGTGTGATTAAGTCATCAATCCCAATATTTGTCAAACCTGTTGCTTATGTTATCTATTCTTGTTAGTATTAAAATTAATTTCAACCCCAGCACCAGTGGCTCATGCATGTAATCCTAGCTATTCAGGAGGCTGAGATCTGAGGATCACAGTTGAAATTGAGTTCAGGCAGGAAAGTCTGTGAGACTCTTATCTCTGGTTAACCACCAGAAAACCAGAAGTGGCACTGTGGCTCAAAGTGGTAGAGCACAAGCCTTGAGCTGAAGAGCTCAGCGACAGTGCCCAAGCCCAGAGTTCAAGCCCTACAACTGACATAAATAAATAAATACATAAATAAAATGACTTTCAAGTATATATTGACAGAATGAGCACAACAAATACATTGCATGTATCAAGTCATTGTTACTAACATTATAAAATATTTCTCCTGATAGAATATTTTCTTTTTTGGCAATACTGAGGTTTCATTTCAGGAACTCACACTCTTGCTGGCTTCCTGTTGGTTATTGTGGAGATAGAATTGTGCAAGACCTGGGATGGTTATGAACCACAACCCTCCAGATCTCAGGCTCCTGAGTAGCTATAATTATAGGCATGAGCCACTGGCACCTGGCTGTAATAGAAATTCTACCCAAATTTCAAATCAATATTGCCAATAAAAATTGAAGCAATGTTACAAATTAAAACTGATCAGAAATAGAAATGAATCATTGGTTACTAGTATCATAAAATATAGTCACTATTATTGCAAATTATCAATATTACAAATTATGTTCTCATATTGTATCTGTTTTGAAGTACATGAAAAAGATGAATTATTATTACTAATATTGAATTTAATAAATATTATAATTTATTCCTAGTATTACAAATTAGTTTTATTAATATAAATGATTAGTACTTATTGTGAATTGAGCTCTAATTACTAAGAGAAATAAATATATCTGGATGTTTGTGGCTCACACCTGTAATTCTAGCTACTCAGGAGGCTGAGATCTGAGAATCAAAGTTTGAAGCCAGCCCCAAAAGAAAAATCCATGAAGGCTGGGAATGTGGCTTAGTGGTAGAGTGCTTGCCTAGCATGCATGAAGCCCTGGGTTTGATTCCTCAGTCCCATAAACAGAAATAGCCAGAAGTGGCAATGTAGCTCAGGTGGTAGGATGCTAGCCTTGAGCACAAAGAGCCTCAGGGACAGTGCCCAGGGCCTGAGTTCAAGCTCCAGGTCTGGCAAAAAAATCCATGAGACTCTTACCTCCAATTAACCAGCAAAGAGCCAGAAGTGGAGGTATAGCTCAAGTATAGAATGCCCGCTGTGAACAAGCCAAGCATGTACTTGAGGCCCTGCCTCATACTGGCAAAAAAGAAAAGGACAAAAGCAATGTTATGACTTAAGTTCACTAAGGAAATCCAATTTGTCTATCATTATTATTATTCTACATTCTTGGAGAACAGGATAGAAGAATGCAGTTAAGAGTGTGGCTCTAGGGGCTGGGAAGGTAGCTCAGTGGTAGAGCGCTTGCCTTGCATGCATGAGGCCCTGGGTTCAATTCCTCAGCACCACATAAGCAAAAAGAAAAAAGCCAGAAGTGGTGCTGTGG